TAAGCCTTTCCCAATACCTGGATCATGTCCATTAGACTTAGGACTATTAGTACAATATGTCACACGCACTTAAATACTAGTATAGTATAAAATCACTGCTCAACCCCTTTTTCACCAAAAATATAAGGGGTTACAATTTTCATTGCATTGCATCAAAAACCATTATAATATGTTTAAAACATTATTTCTATACTTGCACTAATATTTTGGCCCTTTCAACATATATATCTCTTCATACACAATTACGCAGGGCCCAAAATACAATTCAAATATTTGCACAATAAAATAGTGCAAGTACACAATATGCAACCTAGAATTAGCAACTATATTATATTACATAAAATAAATATAAACTAGAGGCATACAGTAGGAATGAACTAATTTCTAGTTTCTTGAGCCTTCTCCTTCTCTACACCAGAGCTAGAGCCTGTAAAGTATTAAATGAAAGGGGTGAGTTTAACTACTGAGTAATTAAGATAAAATATACTCTCTGCAATTATATAGCAACTGCAAATCAAACATATGTATATGAAATCAAGTTCTTAAAACATGCTCACACACACATCATAGCTTATTGTTACTTATTTTATATCATCTTTATCTCACATACACTAGATGCATTGTCACAATACATTTAGACACATGACCATAAACTATTATCCACACGACTTGCCACAACTCAACGCGTGTGACACATCATATATTTTATATAGGCAATGATCAACCAATCTTATACCCTCCTTATTTCCTCAAACTAAAATTGTGGGCTATAGCACTGAATAGGGCTCTGTTCATATGACTATACTACCCAAGCTTACCAATCGTGAGGTGTGCCCCGGCTAAAGATCACATGACTCACTCTTGAACCATAATTTTTTCCACTCTCGAATCTCTGAGGTATCTCATATCCTAGGCTATTCTCCTTATTAAATTAGTAGAGAAAGTTAGGTTCTAGTCCCTCGACAAACTGTGGAACAAGACTATACTCTCAATCCCTAAGCAAACTCCCACCTACTGATCATGTCATATATGATGCTCACTCATTTTTAAATTTTCATTTATTCAATATTAAAGTCAACATGTTAGGCTCACGACCAAGCACTACCTAAGTGAGTATCAATTCTTATTTTTACTTATATCACATAAAACCTATCATTTTCAATCTCATATAATCATCTCATCAATCTCATTATCAATTACTCATCCCAAACCACATTATAAAATTGTCAATCATTTCACAAGCATTTTTCACATGTTTCACACACATAAAAGCAATTATATAATTTATAAATTTTATTGTATGTTACACCATTCATGAATCATAATTTGCATATTTAATATATAATTCACCTCATATTACAATTAATAAATTACTACTTAAAAAAGGGCTTTCACAGTTACCTTAAAACTTTGAGAAGTCAAAGGTTTATCCCTTAATATAATAGTTTTCAAGCTTAAATTTCTAAGCCAAATAGGTGTCCAACAGCTTAATCTACAATTTAACAAGTTGATCTCCATTAATATTGCTAAACTCAAACATTCAACTCTCATTTCTCCACTTTTAAATTGCCCAACGCCTACTTTACATGAGTTTGAGCTTATCAATTAAATTTATTAACTTTCTTAACATCATATAGCTTTATTAAATACTCACATTGCCATTAATATCTTAACAACCATAATAATGATAGATTTAATGTCCATTTTCGGACATTAATGAAACTTATCATCCAACAACCACTAAAATCATTAATATTGGGTTTAAATACTCTAAACAATTTTCATTAACTCCATTTAAGTCAATGGATTCAAACCTATAACCTATATGGATCAAAAATTATCTTTTCACTATAAATCCTAACCATCAACTTCATAATGTGGAAGAAAATGGGAGATTAAGAGACATAATACTTATCTTGGGTGTTTGTAGCTTCTAAAACACTTTCAATATCATCTAAGAGTAAACCCTAGCAGAGCTTAATTGCTGGTTCACATTCTCTCCTTCTTTCTTTATATTTTCTAGCTCAATTTGTGACTTATTTCTAAAGAAAATGGCTGTGTGCCTCGGTGAACGCACAATGCGCTGCAACGCACAACACAAAAAGGTCCCTTTTCTCACATCTTTAGTGTCTGTGTACTGCGACGGATAAACTCCATGCCACGGCTTGTGGCACAGCAACATTAACCCTTTATTTTCTTCTCATTTCGATGCTCGGGTGGCCCAACTTGATACTGAACCTACAATTAGGGTTGAAACACAATCGAATATGATTATTAGACCTCCTTGACTACACACCACTATAATTTACTCAATTATCCTAATTAAGCTTAGTAAATCAAGATATTAAAACCAAGATGTTACACAACCTTCCATCAACTTCTCAGCCCCTAACAACTAGTCAACGACCTTGACCTTCGGCTCTAAGACAATGACCACAAGTGAGCTCCAGTGACAACAAGCTCTATTAATAGCGAAAATTGATGACAACTCCTCCTCTTCCTCTTCCAACAACTACAACCTTTGATTTTATGGCTAAAACTCAAAGGTGACTCCAAACCCAACCTTTGATTTACTGAAACTGAGACTCAAAGAAAAAGAGAGGTCAAGAGAGGGACTACTTTGATTTGGGTTAAATATGGATCTTCATCTCCCTCTCGATCTTCCTCTTCCTCTCTATCTCCATCTTCGATTTATTGATTGTTACAAAGCCTGGATCTCCCTCTCCCTCTCAAACTTTGTCTTCAATTTCTTGAATATAGATTTGTTGTTTAAATGGTAGTTTTTGTTGATTGTTGATTGCATTTCGATGGTGGTTCTTTCAGTGGCAATATGGAGAAAGGTAGCTATGTTGGTCTAAGGTTTTTTTAGTGAGGGTATTTTGGTCTTTTAATATGATGGATATATATTTTTGATAAAATTATACCAGGATTCCATGAACATACCAAACATATTGTTAAACCCTATATCTATTTTCATATCAATATCCATTTTTACTTTCATATCCATATTCATTTCCATCAAAATTATTTTTATTATACCAAACAAGATATTATACATCATACAAGAGGCACACAAGGCATGGCCTCTTTTTTTCTGTTCCTTATTTTATTTTCTGTTATGATAGACACCATTAGATAGAAATTATTAGGAATTTGGCTCAACAAACAAGACGAAGAAATTATTAGAAATTAGAATGTCTGGTTTAACAAGAAATAAAGAATTCATTAACATCTCCAAAGAAAGCTTCTCTCTAACTCCTTCCCCTCTCTTATTATATTATATTACATTATATTATATTAAAGAATATTAAATTTTATATTTTTTATTCTTATTACTTTTAATATATCAAATTTTGTGTTATTTAAAATTTTTATCACAATTATTTTTTAAACATTTCTATAACAAAAATAATGTTTTTTATAATTATATATTCAAAAAAAATTCCGTTACAACTACTTAATTTTACTAAATTGAGTTTTGTGAAATGAATTTTTGAGAAATTAATTTTTTTATTAACAAAAAAACCAAGCGGGGCACCCAGGTTACAAAATCATCAATTTCATTCTCAAATCTCATCCATCAACAATAAGCGGCACGCGTTTGATTTTAACCTTTTCTTTTTGTCCAATCCACTAACATGAAGTTACCATCCCATCCTTATTTAATAAAAATTCCAATATCTTTGTTAATATAAGTGGCGGAGCCAAGATCTGAAATCAAGATGTGCGAGATAATTTAATAAAAAAATTATATTTTTTAAAAATAATAATTATATTATAGGAATAAATTTATAGTAACATAAATAAATTAATTATCATTTTTCTTCTTAAAAATTATAATGACCAAGTTGATATGATCTTTTATATAAATATGCTCTTTATATCTTATATAAATCATTAAACTATTTTATATTTAATAAGTTTTTGAGCCCAAAAACTTTTATTTAGTCTTAAGGGGGCAAAGAATCAAAAATAAGGGATGTAAAGTTGTAAAATTTTTATACTATATTTATAATATTTTTCAAAGTGAGGGAGTGCATTTACCCCCAATACTAACATGTGGCTTCGGCACTCCACCACTGGAACTTAATATAATATATTTTAAAAAAAATTATTATTATTTTTTCACCAAGTACTTGTAACAAGCTATAAAACTTTTTTATTAATCAAACAAGCCCCTTTGACTAATAATTTATATTGAAGATAATTTCAAAATTTTACAAGAAATAACAAACTTATTTGATTTTATAAATTTTTAAAGAAAAAATAAACTTCAGTAATATACGTAGAGTTGTCATTAATTTTTTTATAAAAAAAGTACAAAGGGTAGCATATTATCTACCATCATGGCTTATCTCTCATATTTTTTCCAAGTTTTTTTTTGGGACACATTCCAAGTTCAAATATAAAACATGTTTTAAAAAAATTGAGAGACCAAATTAAAAGGAGATAAATTATAAGACTTAAAATATTTGATTTTTATTAAAAAAATATAGTAAAATGAATTCATGACATCTTTAATAAAAACAAATATTTTATTTGAACATGCTAATTACCAAATAGATGCATCTCACATATCCAATAACACCACCACAGTTGAGTTAGAACTTAGAAGGATGTCCTGTGTAGAAGAATTCTGATTACATTTACTATCACCTCCCAAATAATTTTTTTGCATCATTTTCAACGATGAATGCCATCCATCGACATTAATCTTCATATAAAATACAAAAATTGTTAGGAGATACATATGTTGTTTACAAGTCATATTCATGTTTCTTCTGCTGCATGTGATCGTCCCCCTCATTGTCAACATTCAAGAAAATATTATAACCACAGAAATATTATCTAAATTGTATCCTCAAAAGTTTGCAAAGTTTTCTGTATCTCTGAACACCAATATTTTGATATGAAACAAGTAATAAAGAGTGAAGAAATTAAAGAAAATAACCCCCAATAAAAAAATAAAATTGTCAAATATATATATCAATCTTTTGGCTTCAATAAATCTTCATCAAAATGACAGCGGGCAAATCTTGAAAATCCTCAACAGTCCCAACCCCAAGAATCCCATTCTGATAGTCGCCGTCGCTGATCTGGCCGTGCTGCCATACCGGAACGGCGCTAATACTCGTATCCAGTTCCGCCCAATTCGCCGCCTCATAATCAGGTTCCCTATACCTGTGCAGGTAAATCTGGAGTGGTTCCACGTAATTATCGAATCCGAGTCGGGCCAACGCCCACACGATGTCGTCGCCGGTCAGCATAAAGCGGTTATCATTGTTGCACTTCTCGGCGGCTTCGCTGGTGATGAAGGCGACGAACTCCGTCAGGCATTGTTCGATCGTTTCCTTCACTTCTGTAGTGATCCTTGCCTTCTGCGGCAACACCTTCTTCATGATCTTTCCGATGGTCTGAATCGAAAAGGTTCGCTGTCCAGCCTCCCCCCTCCCACGGCCGACGGAATTTCGCTGATCCCTTGACGCCACCATTGACTCTCTTTCTCTCTCTCTCTCTCTCTCTCTCTGCTTCAGAATATTTCACCAACGCCACCTTATGTAATGAACAGATTGCGAAATTAATACCGTAATCTGGCTTGTTTGGTATTAATTATTAATTATTAATAATAAAATTGATTTAAAGATAAAATAGAGAAAGATTAGAATTAGAAGTATTAGTAAAAGTGTAGATGACGAACTTGACTCTGAGAATACTTAATTAATCTTTTTATATAAACAAACCGATAGACCATAGAATAATCCTTAGGTAATTTGGTCTTTCAGTCAATTAGAAATCCGTCTTGATTTTCGGGGCCAAAAAACCAAAAAACCTAAGCAAGTGTACGTCAAGAGACAAAATAAACAAATAAATAATTTCATGCACGACGTGATGAGTCCTTGTATACTTTCTGCTTTACTTCAAGTAATTGTAATTGTCATACATTTGGCCCAAAAAAAAAAAGAGTAATTGTTATACACAATTGACATATATATTATCAATGATCAAATTAATTACTATAATTTCCAGTGTCTGTCTTCAAAATTGAATATACCAATTGGGAGGTATTTTCTGATAAGTATCAAATGTTAGAGAGATTGCAACTATCATTATTTGATCTTGAAGCTATCACTGTATTTCTGGCCAAAAAAACAAACAAACAAACAAACTATCACTATATTATTTAATTTGTTGTTTTTTGCTTGAACTTGCAGGCGTGCAAGTGAAATTAATCTTCACACTGTGTTATGTGCCTGACTTCTCGCACTACACCTTACCACCTGAATTAGTATCAAATGGCTTTCATATATATTTTGAGTAAAATAAAATGAGCTCCTTTCCATTTTATTGACATTATAGAGATTTTTCTTTTATTTTCAAAAACATAAACTTTAGTTCAATTATTAATACTATTAGGAATATTTCGTTAAAAATTTTAAAATAGATAATTTTTTATTTTTAATTATATTAAAATTTTTAAAATTATTAATTTGTCCTTATGACCTAATTGTCTCCTCTCTTTCCCAATTTTAAAAAAAATTTAAATAATTCAGCATGTCAATATTTAAATAAACAATTTAGATTTTTTTGTTAAAATTATATTATATTGAGAAATTTACTATAAATTTTTTTGATTGTATGTTTGAATATTCTTTAGCCAATGTGTGTATTTAATTTTTTTAAATTACTAAATAAATACATTTTCACAACTAAAAAATTAAAATATAAATAATGAGACGTAAATAGCCTCTTAGAGGTTTAGCTGCTTAGGGCCCAAGCTTTTCGGCCCAATCCAATGACTGCCTGCATATATAGTGACAAATAACAAACTACTTATATTTCTTTATCATATAGACATGTTTTTTATGTGATTATTTAATTGAGTTAGATTTAAATACTGTTATGTTTAATTTAAAATAACTATCTCAAATATATTTTTTGCATTCACACTGGTGCAAACACAAAATTTCATGTTGGTGAGATTGCGCGTAGGCTTTTATCAACAATGCATTTTTCATTAACGGGTCAGAAAATTATGGTTATTCTTCTGAGAATTACACGCACATCTCATATGCTTTTTTTAACAAAATTGTAAAATATACACATCTTAAAGAAAATAAGAAGATGATGCAGATGATTTGCTATTGTAAACTTTTGTATTACTGCACTAGGCACAAAATCTTATCTCCATTGTTTTACCCCCCCAAAAAAAAATCTTATCTCCACTGCGAGGACAACCATATTAAAATCCGTAATCCTCTTTAGAAATTAATCCTAATAAAAGGGATTATTGCGACATAAAGAATTTGAAATGATTGAAATGCCCTCCAAATCAACCTCAACCTTATTGTTGTTTCTTACAAAAGATAATATACTCTATCAAAATAACTTAAACTGTTTAGTTGAATACTTTCTAAGTTTATATATTCATAATTCATCTTTTAATCTTTAGATGTGTGACTTTTTTTATATTTTAATATTCTCTCTACTACTTTTTCTCATTTTTGTTTTCATTTTTTTCTTCTTCTTCCCTAAGTTTGGACTTTTTTTTAGTCTCAAAGGTCTTAAGTCTATTCAATATTTTTTTCTTTTCCTTCTCTCTTTTCTTTTTTTTTAATGTCTTGTGTGTTTTTTTCATCTTTCATTCTTTCTTTTGGTTCTTTTTTTTCCTTCCTTTTTTTGTTTTTTTATTCCCGAATCAAATGGCTCACAATACCATGTTAGATTTCTTACATTAAGTATGCCTAAGGATAATATACTCTACCAAAATAGCTTAAGCCATTTAGTTAGATACTTCCTAAGTTTATATATTCATGATCTATCTTCTAATCTTTAGATGTGGGATTTCTTTTATATTCTAATAATAACCACCAACTTCACCCTAAGCAATAGCCTAAGGGTGTTCACAAGACGAGATGAGACTTGGACACTCCTATCCCATATTTCGTCTAAAAAAATTATAAGGACTGAATTTTTATCTCGTATCTTGTTTTGTCCCGAAAGTTATCTTGTCTTATTAAGAATTAGGACAAGATCAAGATGAGATCAAAATGTCCTAATAAATAGAGATGGAAATATGGCCCAACCTAACTCATATGGATTAGCTCATATAGGTTGGGAGAAATGTGAGTTGGGTTGGGTTCAACCCATTTTTATATGGGTTAAAAAAATCCCAACCCTTAAATATTGGCGGGTTAAATGAGCTAACTCATCAACCCATTTATTTATTTTTTTTAAATTTTTTTTATGAATTTTTTTAAAATATACACCTAAATAATAAGTTTCAATTTGATATTCCTTCATGATTCATTCTAAATATATCAAAATATTAATTTATAATATTTTTTACAAAATATATAAATTGATTTAGCTAAGTAATTCATGTCTAATATGATTTATATCCACAAATTTTTTTTATTTTTTTAAAAATAATATGAGTTAAGCAGGCCAACCCTAACCCATCAAGATTAATCCATATAATTTACGGGTTATATAGTCCGTGTCAAGAAAAAACTTTTTATTTTAGTCAATTTTTTCGACCTGACCCTTATAATCGGTTACTGAGGCCAACCCATATAACCTGACACATATTTCCTACTCTCCTGATAAAGCAGACAACATGAGAAAAAAAGATCTAAATAACAACATTCATTAACATATTAAATCACATCAATGATTTAAAATTAATTATTAAGTTGCATCAATCACAACTACAAGTATATAACTTAAAATCAAATATATATTAGACATAACACATTATTACAACACATATAAGTGATCTTCAAGTTATAAGAGCAACAGTAATAGATAAACCAAGTGCAATATTAAGTTATTCTTCTTCTTCTTTTGTTGAAATATTTAAACTTATTGACTTTTTTAAAAATAAAGCAAGACATATAACATAAAAAAAAAAAACAATAGATATTCTAATAAATTCTATTAATGTAATTAATATATTGTAAAAAAAATAGATTACCTTGTACATTCCTTAAAATTATTAATATAAAAAAATTTTAGTTTTTAGTAGGGATTTCAAATATTGAAATTATACTAGTAATTAGTATAATTTAGTATTTTTTTGTTAGGTGGAAAAATATAATTTTGATGTAAAACAAGAAGGGGAGGGAGGAGCAGAGAGAGGGAGGAGGAGGGAAGGAGAATGAATGAGAAGGAAGGCTGAAACTCTCAAAAATTTTTATTCAATAATACTCAAAAGTTAAATACAAATGAAAAATTTAATTCTATTTATAGAGATCTAAAAATAATAAAATATTGATAATTTAAATTTGAATCCCAAATCCTAAATTTAAATCAAATATTAAAGATACTGATATCTAAAATAATAATAACATAAATAATTAAAGCTAATTTAATGGATCAATATCCTTATTTAAATATCCCCATTAGATAATCATAATATCCTAAATTAAACCTAATTATATTTTATCTCATATTACACCATTTCTCCCTTGCTTGAAGAACTCGATTCCTGGTGAGTTAAAATTAAGGCACAAATTTAGGAAGGGAAGGGGGGGATAAAATTTTAGCAAGGTACTCGTATATGAAAATCCTTTCCAATAGGTGAGATATTAAAAAAGCAAGCTCTAGCAAGAGCAAGATGTAGCTTGCAAACAAGGAAAAGCTATAGCCTGATGAGATCAATCCTTGCTTGGAGCAATTTGAAAAGGAGCCACTTGTACTGACGTATAGTGAATAACTTGATCATTGTTTAGAGAATCTTCTACTGGCAAGGAAGAAGCTTCTTCTATTGTTGGTTAGCTTGATGCTTGTTCTCCCATTTGTTTCCTCAATTGATCAATCATCCTCTTAATCTCACATGTTACCTTCTTAGCTGTACTACAATTTCTCTTAAGCTTGTCAAATAACAATTTTGTTCTTGCTGAAAGCGATCCAGTTTAACTATGATTTGGTCTATGTCCTCCTGAAAGTCAGCATATTCGTAATGACAATGGGTACCATCCTCGTATTGATAAATATAATCATGTTGATGGCTGTTAAGATGCTTATATTATCGTCACTCAATGTACTCATGCTGATATTAGTCCTCATACTCATGTAGCTTATGATTAGCACAATTTGATTGAATATAACGATGCTTATAATTGTCATGATAAGTATGCTCATACTGTTGATGGCTTGTGTACTCATATGGTTGCTCTTCATAGTTATACCAATAACTATCTTGCCAATAAGTATCTTGCAATGGATAGGCATACCGTTATTGATATTCATTGCATGTGTACTATTGAACATAATCCTTTTGCTGTTGAGCATATTGTGATAGATCAGCATATTCATACCGATAATCTACATGTGTGTATATATTGTAACTCATATTAGTAACTATGTATCATAACAAACCTTTCTTTTTCTTTTTTTTTTCTTTTCTTCTTTCTTTTTTCCTTTTGTCTTTTTCTTCTTCTTTTTTTCTCTTTTTTGTTAGAATACAAAAATTCATATCAATAAAAATGAA